GTGTGCAAGCACACACTCAGGAGTACCACAGCGCATGAGGTCATAGTAAAACCCCAATTGCCCATCTTTGTCTTCCACTTTGCTTTAGATGTTGCAGCCCCCAGACCAGCAGGTCTACACGGTTTCAGAGAGTCTCCCGTTTTCCCGCCCCCGCCCCCATCTTCCAGTAGGAGCCCTGGGTTTACAGACACAAGCTACAACCCCTTAGCCGTACTTGGGATCTGGGGATCTGAACTCAGTGCTTCATGCTTACGGGGAGAGCACGTTTACCAATCGCGGCATCTCTTTAGCCCCGCAGCGTTTATTATTTTTGAATGGAAGGCTTGGCTCGCGGTTTTAGAGCTTTCAGCCCACGTCCCCAGTGTCACTGATCCATCATGAGGTAGCACACCAGCCAACTTATTTTTTTCCGGGTAGGTAGTGTGCAATGGCGCTCCGCTTTGCATTTGCGTTTCTTGGCTAATGAGTCACAGCCTTGCACTTGACTTCGTGACGTCTGGGCTCTTCTTCCTCCAACCTGACCGCTCACACCTTTGTCTATGTTCCTGATAAAACGGCTCTTTTTCTTCCTTGGTTATCTAGTTAGCGTGAATGTTTGCAAATATTTTCCCCATTCTGAAACTTGACTATTCCAAATTATTTAATTACTTACTTCATTTTGAGCCATGGTCTCACTCTGTAGCCCAGGCGGGCCCGAACTCTCTGTTCCCCTACTTCAGACTCCTGTATGCTACTGTCATGTCTGGTGTCAGTGAAACATCTTGATTTTTATATTATTAACTCTTTTTGTTCATTTTATTTGTTCAATTATGGTCTTTATATAGTTTTATTTCAGATGTCTTATTTTGGCTCTGCAGTCGTGGACTTTTTTCTGGCGGCTCTTGGTCACATCACTGTGACCAAATACCCGAGGAGGGGGTTCTTATGGGAATGAAATGGTTAATATTAATTGTCAAACTGACAGGGTCTAAAATCACCAAGGAGACAGGCATCAGCTCCTCACAGACATCTGTGTGGAAGTTTCTAGATCAACTTAACTGAGATAGGAAGATGTACCCTGAACATGAGTGGTAGGTAGGACTCGTTCCCTGAGCTGAGATCCTAGACTGAGTGAAAGATGAGAGACAGTGGTTGAGGCTGGAGGGCCGGCTCAGCAGTTAAAAGCACTAGTATGGGACACACTCGTCCGTTTCCTAACACGCTCACGGGACCACACGTGAGCCGCCATGTTGGCTCTGGAAGTTGAATGGGTTCTGCGAGAGGAGCCCGTGCTCTTAGCCACAGAGCCATCCTCCAGCACCAGACTGATAAATTTCATTTCATGTTCATTTTTGTTTAGTTTTGTGGTGCTGAGAATTACATCCGGGGGCTTATGGATGGTAGGCAGAGTGAGTGACACATTAGGTTAAAATTAAATATGCACACACATGTGCCTGGGGGTCCTGTTCTGGACAGCACAAAACCAGGCTGCCTTTAAGAAACTTTAATAATGTATTCACTTGTTTTTGTCCGTGCCAGGGGACAATTTACAGAAATTGGTTCTCTCCTTCCCCTCATGTGGATCCCGGGGATCGAACTCAGGTCATTAGGCTTGACAGCGGGGACCTTTCTTTACCAGCTGGACATTCTTGCCAGCCAGCAGGCTGCCCTCTCTTTTGTAGAATTCCTGAGAACTGTTATTTAACAATCTCTTTTCCCTTATTGCAGAGGTCACCTTTCTTGTATGGGGACCCCCTGCACACATCTTATCTGTCTCTGAACTCTGATGTGTCATTAAGCCTCAGTTCCTAGGGTCAAACCCAGCAAATCCAATGAGCCACCGGGGTGGGGCTTCTCAAGTCTGTGCCACAGCAAGGACTACATTATCCAACCCGCCTTGCCCCTGGGCATGGCCAAACACCTAGCCAATGACGAGGTGGCATAATCCCTGGCTCAAATCCTTAAAAGAGTCAGTCCTTTTTGTAGGAGGTTCTACTCCCAGGATGGAGGGCAGAGGGAGGCTGGAGTCCCTGCTACTTGAAGAAAGAATCCCAGTGGCATGTTTAGCACAGAAAGGTTGCCTTGTTTCTGGGGTTTCCATAATGGAGCAGACATCAGAATCCCTGTTGACACACAGGTTGATGGGCCAACCCAGGTTCTGATTCAGCCTGGGTGGAACCCAGGAAATCACATTTGCAAATTCTCAGGGTGGACCAAGGATGAATACTTTAGAGACCCGCTGGTCTGACTTGTTTCCGCCATTTGTTTGGGCTCTAGGCTACGCCCCTCTGGCAGGCAGAATAAACATCTCTGTGGCCCACCTGCACTTGGGCTCCACGTGTCAACCACCCAGCTGTGTCGAGTCATTGCTTGGAGAGTGTGGTGTCTGGCCAGTTACATGTGGGCAAAGCAGGTTGACAGTTTCATCCTTAGACTGTGCTGCCACTGCAGGTGGCACACGTGACCCTCCCACGTGTTCACCTGGGGTCCCTGATTCTGTGCAGTCTAGAGGTCCCAAGAAAGCACACTGTAAAAAAAATCCTTGACAGTAGACCAAGAAGGCTGTACCTGGGAAGACTCTTCAAGTTCAGAGTGGGGAGCTGGGAGAAGCCATTCTGCTCTGTCCACGGCACATGTGTGACCTTCTTGTCCAGGGTTTGGTAATACCACAGGCCTCTCTATTCCATCTAGCCATTCTTGTGACAGTGCCCCTGCACCCACCATGGGCATCTGGGTAATTGGCCTTTTGGCCCCTCCAGTCCTCCTAAAGTGTGACTGACATCTGTGCAGTAAATCCCGACTGAGTCAGAGAGTTAGGTATTCCTGACAGCAAGTGACTGATCCTTGGGGACACTTCTGCATAGGTGACAGGAGCAGGAGGCAGAACTGGGAGAGGGCTGGGCCTCAGGCAACTACTCCCATTGTGAAACCAAGAACCATCCCTTCCAAATGCAGGATAGTGAAGGAGCCCAAACCAGCAGGGCATACAGTAAAGCAGGTGACTGTCCGGGGGCATGTCTTCATCCTGTGGCATGGTACCTCCCAGAGGTTCAGCTGCCAGCGGGATCACAGGGAGTTCAGGCTCTCAGCCACAGGGCTCTGGAATGTTCTTAACACTCCTCTGGTTCACCAGCCCCCACTAAGCAGAGTGAGTTATTCCTCTGGGCCTGCTCTCTGGAATAAGCTGGAGCCCTCTAATGTTTGCTATGTCTCACTGGTTTTTCTCTTGAGACAAAGTCCCACTTAGAGAGTCCTGACTGTAGATCATGCTGACCTCAGACTCACAGAGATTCACCTGCTTCTGTCTACCAAGTGCTGGAACTAAAGGCACACAATACCACCGTCAGCAGTTTTGATTCACTGTCTCATGCAGCCCTGGCCGCCTCTCTTTGAAAACTGCCACCAGGCTGAGTTCTAGATGACAAGCATACAGCACCAGGTCTGGTTTTACTTATACGGTGCTGGAGACTGGACTCCACCAACTGAGCCACACCCCAGCCCCAGGTCCATCTCTCCTGTATTAGCAGCCAGGCCTAGAACTTAGCTTTGGACATATGTTGGTTTCCTCTTTTCTTCTGTCAATTTGGGCCTGTTTATTTACAGAGGAATCCACTCCAGCCAAGCCTCCATTCCTAACAGCAGGAGCTGCTTCTGTCACATTTACACCTGTGAAGTCACTGGGCACTTAGCATGGCCCCACCACAAACAGGCCTGACCCTCTGGAGGCCACAGCTGGATGGCAGTAGACATGGGGTGGTCTGGTCGGCACTGAGCCCAGGTCCCGGTGCTCAACTGGCCCTCACTCCCAGACTAGCTGCCCCTGGGGAATTTCAGAGGCCGCGATGGGTGAGCGTAGGAGACAAAGGTGGAGTGTTCACTGCTCTGGCATTCTTCTTCCCCATGGTGGGCTTGAAGGTGCTGTCCTTGAGTAAGGGTCCTGAGCAGGTAGCGCCAGGCTATTCAGCCTCAGGTGATCTTAAAAAGCCCGTTAACTAACTTACCAAACAGCTCATTTACTAGTTCCTATGCTCAGCAGGATTAACGTCAAACAGTGTGACATTTCCAGACGAGGCCATGTGTGTTAGGAGACAGAGGCAGGGGAGTGTGGCAAGTTTGAAGCCAACCTGGGCTACATAATGAATTTAGGCCAGCCTAAACTATGTAGTGAAATCCTGTCCCAAAGAAATAAAAAAATAAAAAGAGGAAAAACTAATCCCAGGCCACTGGGATGTGGAAATGTCAGCACTTGAAAACCAGCTCTGGCCGACCGGCTGCTTCCAGAGTTGGGGCGCACTGGTCCCATGTAGGGAGTCGGGTGGAGTATCTCTCCCACGATGCCTGGGTTCACAGGCCCAGTCTCCAAACTTCCCTTACTACACAGCTGGGCAGTTGCCTCCATATACCACACATATACACACACACACAACAAAAAACCAAGAAAATACTTTAATTGTAAAACTAACTTGAGGGATTGGTGGCAGGGTGGGGGACAGAAGCCTGATTCTTCAAAGCGGCTCTGTCCCTGGGCCAGCCACCCCACAGGTCAGAGGTCATCTGTCCCCAGGCTGAGACAGAGACACAGCTAGTGTTATAAAATGACAATATAAATAGACTTCTAGAAAACAGAGGCCGTCTGGTGCAGTAGTCATTTGCTGCAGAGGTTGGGGGAGGGGGGCCCCATGTCTCCTATGGAAAGAGGGTGTGGGGCTCTGGGAAAAGGCCACTCTTCAAACATTCATGATTGACCCTTCAATGGCTCAGGGTCAGGGGCTGGGCACCAGGCAGGCGGAGGACAGAGGAGCTGGACTTTCTGGGTTTGCGTGTGCGTTCTCTCTCTCTCTCTCTCTCTCTCTCTCTCTCTCTCTCTCTCTCTCTCTCACACACACACACACACACACACACACACACACACACA